GCACTGGCGGGGCTTCGATGCTGCCGCAGCAGCAGCCGCTGCTGCTGCTGCGCTGCTGCTGCTGCTGCTGCTGCCGATGGGTGGGGTTGGTGTTGCTGGGGGCCCCCCAACAGTAATGGGTCTGCAGCAAATCAGCACTCCTTCTCAGCTGTAGCCTTCCGCTTTTTAATTGTTGTTTTCGCTTTATTTTTGCTGCTGCTGCTGCTGTTGATGCAGCAGCAGCGGCAGCAGCTGCAGCAGCAGCAGCAGCAGCAGCAGCAGGTCACCAGCAAGACATCAACGCACTGGAGCAGCAGAAGCAAAAACACCAGCAGCAGCTGCTGCAGCGGAGCACCTGGCTTTAAAGCCTGCTGCAGGGAGATAAAAAACAGCAAGAAGGAGCTCGGCTGCCGTTGCTGCTGTTGCTGCTGTTGCCGCTGCTGCTGCTGCCGAGCAGCTTGCTGCACGAACAAGTCCGTCAATCTTGCTGCAGCAGCTGCAGCTGCTGCTCTCTCCTGCTGCTAATTGCAATGCCTCAGCACAAGGAGCAGCAGCAGCAACAGCAGCAAAAGCCTCCGCATCAGAGTCAGCAGTGCCAGGTGCAGCAACCCCAGAAGCAGCAGCAGAAACTGCAGCAACAACAACAACCGAGGCAACAGCAGGAAGAGCAGCAGCAGCAGCAGCAGCAGCAGCAAGGGGCTGTTTTAAAACGGCGAGCAGCAGATCTTCTGCATGCAAGCAGCAGACGCTTCAAAGCCCCAATTGACCCGACCTGCTTCTACGGAACGAGCAGCAGCAGCAGCAGCAGCAGCAGCAGCAAATGCAGCAGCAGCACATCTGAAGTTGCTAGCCATGGCAGCAGCATTTCGCAGGCCGCTGCTGCCTCAATAGCAGCACCAGCTGCTGCTGCTGCTGCTGCTGCTACTGTTTTATCTCCAGACTCTGTAGCGCCCCATCCGACTTCTAAAGACAGCAGCAGCAACAACAGCAGCAGCAGCTCGACCAACCGCAGCAACTGCAGCGACAGCAACAGCAGCAACAGCAGCAGCAGCAGCAGCAGCAGCAACAGCAATTTTAATGAACTTCCCGCACTCGAACGTGTTCGCCTATGGCAGCGAATTGAGGCCCTGCTGCACCAGCAGCAGCAGCAGCAGCAGCAACAGCAGCAGCAGCAGCGGCCTGTTCCTCTGATTCCGCTGTGGGTGTTTGAGAAGCAAAGCGAAGCAACAAAGTTTGCTGCAGTGCTGCGGCGTCGGCTTCCTGCTGCTGCTGTTGCTGTCTGGGCTGAGGAGACAGCAGCAACAGGTCAGAGGCGATTCTGCTGCGGCTCCCTCAGGGCCCTTGTTGCTGCTGCTGCTGCTGCTGCTAGAAAAGCGCAGCAGTTAAGGCAGCTCAGACGACCTACGCAAACCCCACCTGCTGCTGCTGCTGCTGCTGCTTCTACTGCCGCTGCTTCTTCTGCTGCTGCTTCTGCTGCTGCTGATACGCCCAGCAGCAACACTGACAGCAGCAGCACCACTGCCATCAACAGCAACAGCAGCAGCAGCAACAGTACCACAAGCAGCACCAGCAGCAAAATCAACAGCAGCAGCAGTAGCAGCAGCAGCAGCAGTAGCAGCAGCAGCAGCAGCAGCAGCACTGCATGCAATTTGTATGAGGTGTTGGAGTGTGGGCGCCCCGTGTGGCTGTACTTTGACTTAGAGTATTTGTTTTGCTTTAACCCGCAGCAATCCTCAGCAGCAGCAGCAGCAGCAACATGGCAGCAGCTGCTGCTGCAGCTGCGCGGCTTCCTCTGCAGCAGCTGCAGCATTTGCTGCCAGCAGCAAGAAATGATTTGTCTAGATGCTACTAGCAGCAAGAAATTCTCGAGGCACTTGATAATTAAAACAATTAAAATAAACAAAACAAATATCAACACGGAGGCCCTTTGGCTGCTTAGAGATGATTGCAGCAATGCTGCTGCTGCTGCTCCCGCTGCTGCTGCTGCTGCTCCTGCTGCTGCTTCTTCTTCTGCTTCTCACACACAGGAAGATGAGTCCGCAGGTCCAGGCATGCATGCGTCTGTTGTTGCTGCTGCTGCTGCTGCTGAGGGAGCTCCAGATCTGCTGCAAGGCCTCGCAAGTGCTGGGGGTACTGCTGCAGCAGCTGCAGCAAGACCAGCTGCAGCAACTGCAGCAGCAGCAGCAGCAGCAGCGGGGGCATTACACACTGCAGGCCGGCATGACGCATTTGATGAGCCAGCAGAAACAGCAGCAGCATCAGTAATAGTAGCAGCGGCAGCAGAAACGGCAGCAGAAACAGCAGCGGAAATATCAGCAGCAGCAGAAACAGAAGCAGCAGCAGAAACATCAGCCGCAACAGAAACAGCAGCAGCAGCACCAGAAACAGCAGCCGCAGCACCAGAAACAGCAGCAGCACCACCAGAAACAGCAGCAGCAGCAACAACAACAGCAGCAGCAGCACCAGAAACAGCAGCAGCAGCAACAACAACAGCAGCAGCAGCAGACAGTGGGGCTCAATCGACTTTGATGGCTGACACCCAGACAGCAGGCCGAGTAGCCGAGGCCTTCGTGCTGCACTTAGCAAACCGCTTGCGTACACTGCAGCAGCAGCAACAGCAGCAACGGGGAGAGCAGCAGCAGCAGCAGAAGCAGCAGCAGCAGGAAGAGCGCCAGCAGCAGGATGGGTCGAACTGCCAACCACACGAGCAGCAGCAGCAGCACCAAGAGCAACAGCAGCAACAGCAGGATCAGCAGCAGCAGCAGCAGCAGGATCAGCAGCAGCAGCAGCAGCAGCAGGATCAGCAGCAGCAGCAGCAGGAAAATGTGCAGAGAAGCTGCGGCTGCGCCGAAGCAGCAGCAAAAGCAACCTATGAGGATCTGCTGCTGCTGTTTCCTGTTGCAGCAGCAACAGGCGAGCGGCGCTGTATAATTGATACATCCGTATACACTCGAAATCGCTGCTTCAGGTTGCTGGGTGCCTCTAAGTACGGCCAAGACAACCCTCTTCAGGTAGGCTGCTGCTGCTGCTGCTGCTGCTGTTACTGCTGCTGGTGCTGACGCTGTTGCTGTTGCTGTTGCTGCTGCTGGTGCTTCTGATGGTGGTGTTGGTTATGTTGCTGGTGCGGCTTCTGCTGTTGCTGCTGATGATGGTGGTAGTTCTACTGCTGCTGCTGCTGCTGCTGCTGCTGCTGCTGCAGGTGAGCAGCGACTGCTGCTACCCTTTAGGTGCTGCTTTGGAGTTGCAGCTGCTGCGCAGTTTAATTTCCTTCGTTCCACCTAACCTCAGCATCCCTCTCTTTCGTCATCGTCTCTTTGCACCTGCGCCTTCTGCTGCTGCTGCTGCTGCTGCTGCTGCTGCAGCAACACGCAGCAGCAGCATCTGGGATGAGAACTGGGAAGATGCAGCAGCAAGCAGCAGCAGCAGCAGCAGCAGCAGCTCTTTGGGGAGGCTGCTGCCGCCGAGGGGTCTCTTTAAGACGGATGCTGCTGGGGGCATCAACGTAACTGAACCAGCAGCTGCAGCAGAAGCAGCAGCAGCAGCAGCAGCAGCAGCAGCAGGGTCGTTTGCTGCTGAGGCTGTTGTCTCTAACCTTCCTGCTTACATTCCAGGGCTGCGAGATGCAGCAGCATATGCTGTTTCCTTTTGGAGGCAGGTCAAAGACGCAGCAGAAGCAGCGGCAGCAGCAGCTGCAGCAGGACAGCAGCAGCAGCTCCAGCAGCAGCAGCAGCAACAGCAGCAGCAGCAGGATGTGCTGCGAGGGTGCAGCTTTTTGTTTTATCCTTCTTCAGAAACCCTCATAATTACACCGCGAGACAACCGCTACTGCATGCATATCGGAAGGTTTGTTTGTCTGTCTCTTTCTTCTGTCTCTTTATTTATTTATTTTATTTATTTATTTATTTATTTATCTGTTTGTTTGTTTGTCTCTCTCTTCCGCCTGTTTTTATGCTTCTTGTGTTGCTGCTGCTGTTTTCCTCTGCTTGCTGCTGCACCTCAGCTGCAGCCGCAACAGCAGCAGCAGCAACAGCAGCAGCAACAACAGGAGCAGCAACAGCAGCAGCAGTGTTGATAGTGGTGTATCTGTTTATATATTTGTTTGTTTGCTGCTTACGTCCTCTGTCTTTCTTTCTCTAATTGGGATTTGCTGCAGCTTCTGCTGCTGCTACTTCTGCTTCTGCTGCTGCTACTTATGCTGCTGCTGCTGCTACTTATGCTGCTGCTGCTGCTGCTGCTGCTGCTGGTGTGGGGTGTACAGACAGCACAAGTCCAACGGTATAATGTTAGTCTTGTCTCTGTCTAAATCTTCTTTTCGTCAAAAGTGTTTTGATGACGATTGCCGCTGCTTCCGCTCAATGCCTTTTCTGCTGCCTCCGGCGCTGCAGCAAACGCATGCACATCTTCAAGATGCTGCTGCTGCTGCTGCAGATGCTCCAGCACCGGATGATGGTGCTGAGGAGGATGCTGCTGCAGCAGCATCCTTTTCTGCTGAGGGTGAGGCTTCTGCTGCTGCTGCTGTTTCCGCTGCTGCTGCTGCTGCAGCACTACCAGAGGCGGTTGTTGAAAGCGTACTGTGATACTGTTACAGTGAATACTCACTGCTGCTGTTGCTGCTGCTGCTGCTGCCTCTGCTGCTGCTGCTGCTGCTGCAGGGACGAGTCAATGCTTTCGTAATGCCTCCTCTCCGCAGCGGCAGCAGATGCCAACAGCAGCAGCAACAACAACAGCAGCAGCAGCAGCAGCTGGTGCAGGAACTGCTGCACTAGCTGCTGCTGCTACGCCCTCAAAGGACGCTGCGGCAGACAGCTTGTCTCCTTTTCTGCTGCAGCAGCAGCACGAGCAGCAGCAGCAGCTGCTGCAGCACCTGCAACACGACAAGCATCAGCACGAGCAGCAGGAACAGCAGCAGCAGCACGACGACCTGCAGCAGCAAGAGCAGCTGCAGCAGCTGCTGCTGGACTTAGATAGCTTTGAAGTTTTTTGAGGGCTGGTGCTGCTGCTGCTGCTGCTGCTGTCTCCTTTCTGTATGTCGCGTCACTTTGCTGCCGCAGTTGTCACGATGAAGGGTTATCTGCTGCTGCTGCTGCTGCTGCTGCCGCTGCTGCTGCTGCCCGTCTGCACGCGCCGCGTGCGTCCACCTGCTGTAGCAGCACCAGCAGCAAAACAAACGAAGCATAGCAGCAATTCACATTAACGATATATATATATATATTATATTATATTAGGGCGAGTACTGCTGCTGTTGCTGCTGCTGCTGCTGCTGATGCCTCACAACAGTCTTAAGGGCGTTTAGCAGCAGCACGTCGCGAGGGACTTCCTTTCTCCGCAGCACCTGCAGCAGCAGCAGCAGCAGCAGCAAATGCAGCAGCAGCGTGGGCAACAAAGGGAACAGCAGGAAAATGCTGCGTTTCGTGGTGCTGTTGCTGCACTGTCCCTGTACTTGCTGCTGCTGCTCCTGCTGCTGTTGCTGCTGCTGCTGCTGCACCTGCGCCTTTTCATCATAGATGAACGGCAGCTCTGGGCTGTCTTTGCAATCCGCAAGTATTTGCTGCAGCACTGATCAGACACCGCAGCAGCAACAGCAGCAGCAGCAACAGCATGGAGGCAGCCGGTATCCCTACTGCCAGAGCCATAGAATGCGCTGCAGCAGCAGCAGCTTCAGCAGCAGCAACAACAGCAGCGGGTTTAGCAGCAGTAGCAACAAGAGCAGCATCAGCAGCAGCAACTGCAACAACAGCAGCAGCAGCTTCAACCACAGGAACAACAGCAGTGGGTTTTGCAGCAGTAGCAACAAGAGCAGCAGCAGCAGCAGCAGCAGCAGCAACAGCAGCAACAGCAGCAACAACCGGGGAGGAGGAGGTGTTACTGCTTCTGTTGATTTGCGTTGCTGCTTGAAGCGAGCTAAGAGATATAGCAGAAAAGTTTGCTGCTGCACGCAGCAGCAGCTGCTGCTGCAGCGCAGCAGCAACCCGCGCCGCCACTGGCTGTAGCACGAAGTCCGTCTCCAGCAGCAGCTGCAGCAGCAGCAGCAGCAACAGAACATGCAGCAGCAGCAGCAAACACAAATGCAGAAACAAACAAACAAACAAACAAACAAACAAACAAACAAACAAACAAACAAACAAAATAAATAAATAAATAAATAAACAAAATAAATAAATAAATAAATAAATAAATAAATAAATAAATAAATAAATAAATAAATAAATAAATAGATTAAATAAATAAATAAATAAATAAATAAATAAATAAATAAATAAATAAATAAAGAGAAGAAGACGAAAAGAGACAGACAAAAAACAGCAAATGACCACAGCCTCACCTCCGTCCGCAGCAAGGCTTGACTCTGCAGCAAAATGCTGCAGCGCTCAACTGCCAGCAGCAGCTGCTTCAGAGGGGTTTGCTGCTGCGCATGCAGCAGCAAACTCCGCAATGAAGGAAGCAGCTGCAGCTGCAGAGACACCGGAAACGCAGCAGCAGCACAAATATTCAACTGCAGCAAAATGAGCAGCAGGCGCTTCACAATATGCTGCAGCAGAAGCAATAGCAGCAGCAATATCAGCAGCAACAGCAGTATCAGGAGTGCACACAACAGCAACACGAGCAACAGCACCAACAGCACCAGCAGCAGCTACAGCAGCAACAGCAGCAGCAGCAGCAGCAGCAGCAGCAGCAGCAGCAGCAGCACTCCTTGTGCCTGCAGCGACGCCTCTGTGGATGCCAGCAGCGAGATTGCCCCATACAAAACCAAATCCGAGGTAGATAGAAGAGAGCTGCTGCTGCTGCTGCTGCTGCCGCTGCTGCTGCTGCAGGTGCCGAAGGTCCACGAAGAATGCATGTGCATCTGGAGCTGCTGCTGGTCGTGCTGCTGCTGTTGCTGCTGCTGCTCTTGCTGCTTCGTATGCGCAGCTGCTGCTGCCTCTTGCAGAGCCGCAAGACAGCAGCGAGCAGCTTCAGAGAAATTCAACGCCCGCAGCGCCAGCACGCTGCAGCGCCAAAGACATGCAGCAGCAGCAGCAACAGCAGCAGCAGCAGCAGCAGCAGCAACAGCAGCAGCAGCAGCAGAAGAGTTGAACCGCTTAGCTTGATGTGCACTTTGCTTTCTGTTTGTCTGCATGCAACCGTCACTAACCTGCAGCAGCAATAGCAGCAGCAGCAACAGCAGCAGCAGCAGCCTCACCCTCTCAGGGCCGTCGACTCGAAGTCCTGCAGAGTTGCTGCTGCGCTTCCTCCTTTCCTTGTTCCTGCTGCTGCTGCTGCTGCAGCAGAAACAGCAGCAGGGCTGCTCCAACGTCGCAGCTCCTCCAGCAGCGAGCCCTCACTCAGCGGAGTCCCCTCCTGCCCCGTTGCTGCTGCTGCTGCTGCTGCTGCTGCTGCTGCTGCTGCTACTGCTGCTGGCCTTGTGTTATCTGGGGCGGTAGGCTGGGGGCCCGCGAGCAGCAGAGACATACAGTGGAGGTGGAGGCTCTGCAGCAGCAGCAGCAACAACAGCAGCAGCAACAGCAGCAGCAACAGCAGCAGCAACAACAGCAGCAGCAGCAATACCGTGAGGACACGAGACACATTGGCCGTGTTTGCTGCTGCTGGTGGTTGTGTTGTTGGTGCTGCTTTTCCTGTTGCTGCTACTTCTGTTGTTGCTGCTGCTTCTGGTGTTGCTGCTGATTCTATTGCTGCTGCTGCTGCTTCTATTGCTGCTGCTGCTCTTATCTTCCTGCTGCTGCGTTTTGTTTCCGCCTCTGCTTTAACTGCTGTTTGCCGCTCTGATGCTGCTGCTAGTACTACTTCTGCTTCTGCTACTACCACTCCTACTCCTACTACTACTGCTGCTGCTGCTGTTGTTGCTGCTGCTGCTGCTGCTGCTGCTGCTGCTGTTGCTGCTGCTTACTTCTGGCTGTAGGCGGAAACGCGGCGGCATCTGCCCCAGCGCCTCCATGAGCCGCAAGGTGACCTAAGCAGCAGCAACAGCAGCAGCAGCAGCAGCAGCAGCAGACAGCATCAGCAGCAGTAGTAGCCTTAGCAGCAGCAGCCAGAACAGCAGTGCCGGTACCAACAGCACAAGTCACTAACCTGCAGCAGCAACAGCAGCAGCAGCAGCAACAGCAACAGCAGCAGCAACAGCAGCAGCAGCAGCAGCAGGTAGGACAGCAAAGGGACTGGACCAGCAGCAAGTTCAGCAGCAGAAGCAGCAGCAGCAGCAAGAAGGATCACCTCGTAGTCTCCAAGATCTGCTGCTGCTGCTGCAGCGCGCAGCAGCGCTGTCGCCCGTTGGGAAGTTGCTGCGGCCATCGCACGCTGCAGCAGCAGCAGCAGCAGCAGCGGCAGCAGCAGAAATGGAGCCAGTGAAGGCGTCAGCAACACTAAAACCAAGGGAAGCAGTTGCTGCAGCAGGAAAGCAGCGGCAACAGCAGCAGCAGCAGCAGCAGCAGCAGCAGCAACCCAAGTTTACCTGTTGATGGAGAGGCTGGCGTTGCTGGGCGCGTTGCAGCAGCAACAGCAGCTGCTGCTGCTGCTGCTGTTGCTCTATCTGGCTGCTAAGGGTCAGAGGGGAGTCTAGAAGAGAGGAAAGTATAGCCTCCCGATCCTTATTGTCACTGCTGCTGCTGCTGCTGCTGCTGCTGCTGCTGCTGCTGCTGTCTAGGCCCCCAGGAGTAGTACGCCTGAGGGTATCCCTATTGCCCCCTTCACCTCCATCTCCATCAGCTGAACCTGTATCACACCCATGCTGCTGCTGCTGCTGCTGTTGCTGCTGCTGCTGTTGTTGTTGCTGTTGCTGCTGCTGCGCTGCCGTGGGGGCGATTGCCCGCAGCCGCTCTACAGCTGCAGCAACACCGCTGTCTCCACTCGTCTCAGCTAGTAGCTCACACTGCAGCAGCAGAAACAGCAGCAGCAACAGCAACAGCAGCAATAGAAGGAACTGCACATTGTGTACCGATTGCAACAGCAGCAGCAACAGCGGCAGCAGCAGCAACAGCAGCAGCAGCAGCAACAGCAGCAGGTTTACACTCCTACCACTGCTTGGGCCGTCGCACCAAGAGCGTCTAGCTCTTGCTTCTGCTGCTGTTTTTGCTGCGGCTGCTGCTGCTGTTGTTGCTGCAGCTGCTGCTGCCGCAGCAGCAGCGCCCGCAGCAGCAGCTGGAGGCGGCGGACCTTTGCTGCTGCACTGCAGCTGCTGAGGCGAAGCCGAAGGAAGGAGACGCAAGAGGGGGGGCCCCCGCTCCAGCAGCACGAACCGCAGACGCAGGCGCACCAGGTTCTGCTGCTGCTGCTGCTGCTGCTCTTGTTGTTGTTGCTGCTGCTACTGCTGCAGCAAAGGCCAGTCTCACTGGGGTCCGCAGAGGGTGTGGGGTGGGGTTGCATTGTCTGGGGGTGTACAGCCTTCCAAGGGGGAGTCAAGCAGCAAAGTCTACTGCTGCTGCTGCTCTTGCTGCTGCTGCTGCTGCTACTGCTGCTGCGGTTGTTGCTGCTGTGGTGGTGGTGTTCTGCTGCATCTTGCGAAGAAACAGCAGCAGAAATTGAAGGCGCAGCAGGTTGCAGGAGCAGCTCCCAGGGCTGCTGCTGCTGCTGTGCTGCTGCTGCTGCCCTGCTGTTGCTTCTGCGCTGCTGCTGCTGCTGTGCTGCTGCTGCTGCCGCTCTGCTTTCTCCAGAGGGCCTCCAGGCTCTGTGAATTACAAAACAGATGTAAAAGACAGAAAGGGTGTTGCTGCTGCTGCTGCTGCCGTTGCTGCTGCTGCCGCCGCTGCTGCTGCTGCAGTTAACTCTGTGCCGTGGGGCCCCCAGGAGGACCCGCAGCGGCTGTCAGTCGGGAGCGGCAGCAGCAGAATTGTTTGTGCTGCTGCAGCATTTGCTGCAGTTTGCTTTATTAAAAAATAAATAATAAATAAATAAATATTTTATTAATATCACTTAATTAATTATTTTCTTTCGGTTGCGTCTGGGTCCGGAAGAGTGCATTAGGGAGCAGAGACTCGTCGGCTGCTGCTGCTGCTGCTGCTGCTGCTGTTGCTGCCTGCTGTGCTGCCAATGGTCTGCTGCTGCTGCTGCTGCTGCTGCTGCTGCTGTTAGGTATTGCATTAACGTCTGAAGGCTAGAAATAGGCTTTAAGATATTCTTTGCTGTATTTATAAACAAAACAAATTAATGCATCAGTGGAGGCTACCACCGCTACCAACGCAAACTTGAGGTCACCTCCGGTGTACAGACACCTCAGCAGCAGCAGCAGCAGCAGCAGCAGCAGCGGCAGCAACAGGTAGAATTCTCCTGTGTGTTCTAAAGGCCTTTACTAATTCAGTAGGAGGGGGACCGGCTCGTGGGGCGGGCTTCCCTCCCCGCTGCTGCTGCTGCTACTGCCG